TTTGTTCGACAAAAGTCACCAGAAAGTAAAAAGCAAACAAAAACCCTCACCGAAATGGTCAATGTGCGGCAAATGCCACGTTTCCCAGTAATTGACAAATTTTGGTGACCATGTTTTTTTTTTTTTTCATATTCATCCATAAATTCCACTTTTGATGAGCTTCTTAATAAATTGAAGACATCATCCAGATGTTGCTTGACAAATGTATCTTTTGCTTTTTTGTATAATTCATTGGGTGATTCATTATCTGGTTAGAAAAAGGATGATTGCAATGAGAAAAAAGCGGAAAAAAGGTATCTTTCCTGTCAAATATTGAAGACGAGTTTATATTTACGTATACACATCACCAAAAAGCAGCAAACGCGTCTTTAATAATAGTGTTTAACGTTTCTGACATTTCCTATAATTCTATATCCTTTATTAACATCGCACACATCAAAACTATTTGAAAATCTAGAAACAAGCCACAAATAGTTAATACAATTAAAGAGCAAAAGAAAATGGAATGTTTTTTTTTGTAGCTATAATTTACACTTGTGTTTTTGATGCCAATATTGGTGATATATGTTCGAATAGTCGTTCAACACCAAAAATATAATTTCCTCCAAAATATATTCCTATATTTAATTTTGTCATAGCAGGATAACCTAAAATGCCGTATTGATCGCCATCTTTAAGCGGATGTTTTAATGGACTCAGTTTCAAAATTGCTACATTAGATTCTGCATCATCATCTATTGACATTGTAGACGTTGTCATTTCTGAACTTCGATGTGGTGAAAATAAATGTGATGTTGTTTTTGATATTTGTGCTTCATCTGATAACACATTTCTTGAACATTGTATTCCAATTTCCGATGTGCATACAGATAAACGTTCAAAAACTGAGATAATTGCAGTTTTTGTTGTAATATGTCCCGTTATTGGATGTTTAAGATTAACTGTAATTTTGACATCTTGATATTTTGGCAATATTGTTATACGATTATCGAATCCTCTCGCAGAGATTCCACCGGTTTCTTTTTGTAATTGCAGTTTTTCTATTTCGTTTGAAGGTAGAATAAGATCAACAGAACAACCACAATCCACCAACACTTCAGCATCTAAACATAAGTTTGGTTTATATAGATTTGTCAATTGGCAAGGTGCATAACCATGTGAGTAAGTCTGTAGCAAATTGATTAATGGTTGAACAGCATCTAATAAAGAAAAGAAAACAAACTAGCAATAAAAATAGTTAATTTTTGTTTCATTAAAAAAAGTTACTGACAAGATGGTAGTACAGGTTCATAAACTCCCTCTGGCCATATACTAGTTGGCGATCTAATCCGACCGTTTTCACACGGAAATCTACAAAATGAATATGTATAAATGCATCAATTATTCCATTAGTGTGGACAAAATGTCTAAAGACGAATTGACGAATCGCAATTTTTGGGCGTAAAAATGATGCAACAATTCGCATTTTACCATTGTTTTGCGAATTCGCAGCGAATTCGTAATTCAGTGCGAACTGATGCGAACTAACAAAAATGATCAAAACCGAACCAAAAAATTGCGTCTTTTCTTCCTTTTGCCAATTCGTAAAGTAGGACGAATTCGTAAGAAACAAATTTCCGGTACCTACGAATTCGTAAATCGAATTGGTCGACCATCGACGAATTCGTAAATCGAATTGGTCGACCATCGACGAATTCGTGAAATGATCATTTTGGTCCCCGAGAATTCGTACATTGGCAAAAATACGATAAAATGCGAATTTACGAATTCTATTTACTAATTCA